TTTAGGGACCGTGATTCTTTTCCCGCGCGGGTGGAGAGGGTGCCCCAATCCCCAGTAAGAAGCAAACCAATACATTTGGAGAAATCTTGGACAATTCTTGCACAAATCTTGGACAAATCTTGCAACAAGGCTCCGGAGGGGTAGGCGAGGAAAAGCCTTAGCCTTAGCCTTAGCCTTAATCGTAGCCTTAGCCTCCATCAACAGTCACGCCTCATCCCACGAGTGGGGTCGGGGATTATACGTGTGACAGGGCAAAGACGGTGTGTGCAAGATCTTTCTGCGTTGGTGGTAAAGAATCAATAACTCCTTGACCCTAAAAACGGAATCCCCAAATCTCAAGGCTGCTAAATGGTAGCTAGAGTGTTTCCAAGTAAATATAGATAGGAGTCCAATACATGTTCAATCCGGATTTACAACCATGAAAACAGGGACAGCATTATTTGATTGGTTGGACAATTGCCCAGTTGGCAGAGTTCGGCACGTTCTGCGTACGCTGTTTGCCAGACATTTTCCCAAAACACGTGTTTCGCGAGGCGGGCCTTCATAAAGATCAAGTGCAGGCTCGCGTCTCAGCGGGTGCCAGGCATCAATCCTGAAATCCTGGACCTGAGACATCCAGAGACGTTTTCACATTTTTTCTCCGCAGAAACTCAATGGTTCTTGGGGCTCTTTCGCCTTTCCTTCCGACCAAGGTGACCCAAAGTAAGGAGGCCAACCAAATCATCATCGCTACGTGCCCGGCTTAGAAGGGGGCACAGGAAATGCTCTGGTGTATAAATCTTTTCTTCCAACATTCTGAATTGTCATTTTTTTCAAGTTCCAGAGCAGATTGACCGATTCAAGGAGGAAGTCTCACTGTTTTTCTGGTGGGGACAGGGGCAGGACAATCCCCCAACTCCCTCCAGCCTTTTGGGAGAAAAGACACACTCCAGGATCGGTGGAAAAGATCCCATGGACTGATAAGACCTGAGAAGAGCAGGGCCATGGACTGATCATGTGAATCGATGGTCATGATTCCAGCCATGCTTGGGGCATGCAGCTGGGATGCCTTTCTCTCGATTCCCATGTTTGCTCATCCCCGGAGTTCAAAGCTGACAACACTTTTTCGTGCTGCAGTCCGAAGTGGTTCTTGACGTCCGAAGTGAGGATTCCATGTGCTGACCCGGGTTCTGCCGCAGTGGTTGCTCATGGCCTGCTTGCAACCGATGGAGCGTGCAGATTGCTGAAAGCTTAGCCCATGAGGTCAGTCGGGTCATTTGAACGAATATGAGAGACTGTGTCAGTCTCTTTCCAGAGGAACACCTTCAAGGCATCAAGCCTGAATGGCCGTTCAATGACTGCAAGAGAAGTGGTGTTCTTTCCATTGAAATGTGAGCTGGACTGCATTTCTCTTCAGATTTTGGGATGTGCTCCATTTCTCTTCATTTCACGTTGCGATCCGAAGCCTCGCCGCGTGTGTGTGCGCGCACGTGAAAACGGACCCAGGTGCCTGGCGGTCAGCGAGGAGCTGGCGAAGGTGCCGCTTGGGACCTGGAGCACCCCGCGGGTTCATTCGCCTGAAGGCAAAGTAAAGGGGGGAAGCCAAGGGCAGCAGGAAGCTCCAAATGAATGTTCACTGAAATTCACTGGTTCAAATGAATTTCACTTGTGAGTGCGAAGAGGAGACTAGGAGACTCTCATTAACTCTAGGATTTCTGAAGATGGACCTGAAAGAGCTACCCTCACTCGAGTCGAGATACAGATCGCACCAGGTCAAAAAGCAGGACAGCTTCGTTTCATTCCAAGTTCTCTCAACATGTTCTTCAAGTTGTCACTTGCTTATATAACATGCTTTCTCCATGTTTCAAAAGGAGCCCACAGGCCTCAGCATGCCTCAGCCCCACCGGTGGGGTCCAATCGACCCGCGCAACCGGAGACGGCCTCCGGCGACGCCGCGCGCGAGCTGGTGGAACGACCGGAGCTGAGGGTGCAGGCACCTTCTGGATGGCAGTCGCCGGGATCATGAGTGAAAACGCATGGCAGTGGAAACGCATGGGGTGACGATTGACATCTATTTAGTATGAAAAAGAAGTATTTTAGTGTTTAGTAAGACCCTGAAGCTTGTTGTTTTCCGGAGAGCTTGTTGAAATGAAGATGGATCAAGACCTATTGGACGGATCTCAGAATTGCAATTTGCATCCATTCGCGACTCCGCAGCCTGAGAAACCACTTGGAACTCCTACCGACGCGTCTCTTTTTGACCATTTTTTGGTACTTCAACTAGCAGTCGATGGTGTAGGCCACAGATGACGTTTGGCACTGTCCCTACCTGGTTTTCTAGCGAAACCACAGCCGTTTGGGAAGGGGCTCGGGGCCTTTTCACGCGCGTCCGGGGGCGCGGGCGGTTCCGGCCAGGTGAAAATGGGTGGACGCGGGGGTGAGGTGCAAGGCGGGGGTTCCAGGGCTCTGTGCGAGCCAAGTACCCAAGTGCCAAAAAGAGAGGCAAACGAGATCAAACGAGCATATGTCATTGATATAGGGTCCATGAATTGAAGTCAAGGGATGATGTCAAAGGGAGCTTGCCGCAGTCGCAAGTCGCTCCACGTGAGAAAGCCGGGGCTTTTTGGCACATGGCAGGTCGGGATGTGGAGCAATCTGAGAAAAGGGTTGCACTGCTTCCAAAAAAGATGACCGAGGAGGGGAGCCGTCTTGATGAGCGGAAGAACGAAGTGAGTGGAGTCGTCAGTCCAACAACGGCTTCTGTAACTGCGAGTCAGCTGCTGCATGATCTGTTTGTCATGTTCTGGATCCGCCAGCCTCTCGCATGGACTGTGGGGCCTTTGTCACCCCAAAGACCCGGGTGCCCACGTGGCCGTTCGGTGTGGGAACAAAGCAGGGTTCACCGGCTCGCCGCCGGCGAACATGAACAAAGTACCAAGGAGATCAACCTGCGTGAAACGGGTTTTGACATGTTTTGACCCAGAGCCACATGTGTTTGAGGCGACCCTTGTGAGGTGACTGGCTCGACGGACTTTTCGTCGGCCAGGAGGCTCAACAGAGCTCGGTGAACTTGCTTGAGGAAGTGCTCCTCTCCGAGCTGTGCCAGGTGCCGGCGTTTTCTCCACCGTGTTCCGTGTGTGTGTGTGTGTGAGTGAGAGGAGTGGTGAGTGAGAAGAATGTTGAGACTTTGATCTTTTGCAGGTCCAGATAGGATTGATCATGGATTAGTGAATGTTACTCCTCGATTCCATTGATGCGTGGTCGGTAGCTGCCCTCTCAAAGAGATCGGGGAAAGTTAACTACCACATATCGCTCATGTTGATTCATTTTTGGAACTGTTCCCAGACTCGGGATTTGAGTGGATGAAGGCACAACTGCGGGACGCTGGGACGTCCGTTTGAGAAGGCATCACCACTTCTCTCAAATATTTTTGGCGGAAGGTGCTCGTGTATGAGATACCAGGGGCACCCCAAACCATGAAACACTGGTTTTCTGTTGGAGGGAAACCTCATTTTCGCCCTACTCTACCAGTTGCTCTCCGGTCGCAGCGTAGGAGGTGAGCTCCTTGCTGAGACAACGTCTTCCGCAGATTGTTCAGGCGAAAAGCGGTCCTGGTGGTCCCTGGCCGGGGAGCAGTGCTACTGCTACTGTGGATGGATATACAGCATACACTCCGATCATTGAAGTGGATGGCACGACCTGCTTGGAGAGGATTTCATGGTCATTTTTGCCATTGTCCACCTCCATGATTATTTCATATCATTCCAATCAGTGCTTGAAAAATTCAGAATTCAACCAGTGGAGCGGAGTACCTGCTACTCAAAGAATGATGTTGGACCCCCCCCATTCCATCCAGTGACCACCTTGGGCTCTTCATGGGGACACCGGTACCACGACGCCCCCTCGCGCCGGCGGATCGGAGATCCACTGGATCCAAAGACGGCGCCGATGACGCGTCTGGACGACTTGGTAAGCCTGAGTTGTGGCCCCAGGCGAAGAGAAGGACTGCCGTGCTGTGCCTTTTTCAGTGGCCAAACTGGAAAAAAGATGAACCAAGACAACTAGGAGGACCTGCCAGGTCATCCGCAGGTTTTGGGGCACCAAGACCGGTGCAGGTTCGAGCTTCTTCATGGTGGATCCAGCCATGACCCGGATGACCCGAGGATGATGTTGCGCGCAAAACGTCACACCTGGCAGGCCGCGCAGGAGCACTTCCACATCCGCTACGAGGTGCGGGGGAGTGTGGTTAGATCAGAGGGTGTCACGTGGTGGCAGCATCGTGAAGCAACAATTGCGACCTCCAAAGTGGGAAAGGGTTCAGGAAACATGTTTAGATGGTGTGTCGTGTGCTGCCAGAATTTTGTTTTGATATGAAGAACTTCAACTATAGCACTTTATGATATATGTGTTGTAGATAAATGTAGATACAAACATAATAAATGTCATACTATACGATATGATCTACTTTTGTTGTGTGGAGCAACTGCGTTTATATGTAAATCCGGCGGGTGGGAGATGGCTGGAAGGAAGACAGCTCATGTCCTTTGATATGGGTGTCGGCCAAAGCCACACCGCCCAAACCATGCTAGATGAAACGTTTTGAGGGGAAGCTCTTCCGTGCTATGTTACAATGTTTGGACTCTGCGAAGGGGCAAGGGGTCTGACCCACATCCCCCAACACGATAGGGCCGAGCTGCTTGGCCTGTGTTGGGGCCGAGCTGCTTGGCCTGTGCAGGCTGCTTGGCCCGAGCCTGCGGAGGCTGCTTGGCCCGAGCTGTGAAGGCTGCGGAGGTTTGAAAAAGGAAGGCTAAATCGGTGCGAGCTTCGTTAGCGTGAGGAATATGATGAACGGAACATATAAATACATGCAATAGATATAAATAATATGAGTCCGCATGCGCAACAACAAAGCCGCAATCCTGCACCCCGCAACCTACCTCGTACAGTATTCCTTCGGCCAGACAACATTGGTTGTGGTGAGGTTTGCAGCAGCTTGAAGTGGAAAGTCTTTTTTGGTGAAGCTGCTGCAAAGCTTGAGGCCCAAGTGGTGTGATTGGCTGGCCTGGCCTGTTGCCTTCCATTGCAAAAGCACTCTATTCTTGATGCTTGGTGTTTGGTAGCCTCGGGGGAAACCTGGATTGAACGATTTCCACCAACCAAAGCGTGATTCTGCTCTTTCAACACTATGCCGCACTGTTACTGTTTTATAATATAAAGGTTTCTTCTTCTTCGGTGTTCCATGGCTGGGGCCACCGGGGGTTCGGGCTTCTTCTGCGGCTTCGGTGTTCCACGTGACGACCGTTCCCAAAGAAGCCACCGGTCGCGATGGGTTTGACCGTCCTTCCCGTGGCCACGATGGGTTTGACAGTGACTGCCGCGCGGCAGAGTTCTCCGCCAAGTAGGGCCCCGATTTTGACTGGGCTGGGGACACTCAGGGTGGGGGTGGAGATGGGTGGAGCATGCGGAGTGCGAAAAGGTGGGGTGGAGGTTAAGAGACAGGCCCGAGAATCATGGTTGATGATGTTTTGGATATGAAAGCATGGATAAACGTGGAACTTGGATTGCAAAAGGACAATGCACAAATGAAAACGGATGGCAACACAGTACCCAATACATCAAGTATCTTTACAATGGATCGAAAAGATTCTAAAAGAGTACTTACAGTACCTCAGGACATACCTGGAACGCGAGAGTTGTCCTTTAGTTTCGGTCGACAGAGACTCAAACAGGAGACTTCAAGATTGCTGTTTCGGAAGCTTCAAGTCTGCCGTCGACTGTCAGGTTTCGACCCGGGTAGAAAAAACAATCCTTGTTTGTACATGTTTGTACCCAAGCCCTACTTGTAGGTTGTTGATCCAGGTGTCCGCCGAGATCGCCTAGGAGGGGACTCAACGCCCGGATCCACCGCCTTGAGCCCCAGGACGATGTACCGCCTTCGCACCCCACGCTGCGCGGCCGCGCTCCGCCGCAAAGCCACCGTCTCGGGCACGTGGCTGGAGGCTGGACTCTCAGTGGATCAGGTTGGATTCGGAGTCATCGAGGATACTTCCGCATCACAAGGTCTCAAGGCAAATGTGGTATGTTATGGTATGTTGCACACTAGTTATCACTAGTTGCTAAGACTAAGGCAGTCAGTATATTATAGTACTTTTTCCTTCTTCCTGCACCTCTTCTTGATCAACATCTGCTTGGGGATGGAGGGGTGCGGGCCATTTTGGTGGCGTCTGCAGTATCCTCACATGATCATACATGATCAAGGTGCGAAACACACGGGTGTCTCATGCGGTTTTGGACCTGTGGCCTGGTGGGATCGAATTCATTCGACACTTCTCGTGCAGACCCATGGGCCATATGTAGGCCCAATCGGGGGTGGAAATCCCATCAGTTCCAGTTCTTGGAACCCTGAACGCCCACGTGAAGCGGCGAGACGGAAGACGGAAAAGCGACGTTTTAGCCGACCAAATCCAAAAAAGGGCCGACCTGGTCAAACGCCACAAGTCTCGAGGGCCAAAGACGCCAAAGACATCTCCATCATTTACGTAGGAAGTTGACTTTTTAGCTGAAAATAGAACTCAGACTTAGTGATTTGTTAGTCAGGCTACTTAGTTGCTGAGTACAGTACTGCATTGATAACTCATGATTCCCAATGGTGCAAGAAAGAGTCTGACAACACTCTCAGTTTCCTCAGTGGCCACCCTCCTTTGCTGCCACCCGGGAACCACGGGCCTGGGATCGCCGACGTCATACGGCGCCAGCCGGCCCTGCCAGGGAGAGATGAAGCTGGATACCAACTTTGTTCATGCCCAGCTCCCAGTGCCGTGAGCGAACGGACAGCCCGTTGTGGAAGAGGGTGGCTCCCCTGAGACCTGCAACACCAGACCTTACTGTGAGACTTTCCTTGAGATTTTACGACCCTTTGAGTCATATGTGTATGAACTATCTGGCAAAACGGTCTTGGAGCCCTTAGGATGGTCTTGGCCTGTGTTGATGACCTGATTGGAGGAGCACAAACTAAACAGCGAAAATACCTGGCACTCGTGCCACCAACAGCGACTCTTATTGGTACGAACAATAAGACATACGAGGCAACACCCGACTTGGAGGATTGGGCTGGCGTCGCTAAAACACAACAACTGTGTGTTCGCTCCCACCCTCCGGATCAATCATGGGACATCGAAAGGTCAACAACCTGTAACTCCAAAGGTGTCTTTGGGCCAGGCCAGGTCACCCTAGAAGCTACTAGTTACTAGTAGCAGGGGCAGCGCTGCTACATAGTAACAAGTGCATCCCTAGTAACATGACACGAAACCCGAATTCACCCAAAAGTGCCTTCGAAAGAACAAAGGGCATTGCTACAATGGCCACAAGGGCATTACTACCAACAAGCAGCGCCTCCAACCGCCTCCAACCCAAGAGCTATGACTTCACCTCAGCGGGTCATCGGCTCGCGTCCGGATTCCCAGGGCGCGGTGACCCCGGAGCCCAAGAGCGGCACGGGAGCCGAGTTCTCTGCGCGCGCGCACGCGCCGCGCGCACGGGGTCGGGATCGCCTTTTTGCGAAGTGATCCGAAAGGAGAGGTGTAGCTTTTCAGAACAGGAGACCGTGGGGGGGAGGATTTCTCAAGATTGATCTCAATCTGAGCTGTTTCATGTTTTTTCTGCTAAGAGGTTTCACGAGATCAGGGCCCAGGGGCTTTTTTGGAACCTGGCGACGAATCAGTGCAGGGCTTTTGGTCTGAGGCGCCATCCTGACCCCGCTCTTCTTGTCCACCACCTTCATTCAGGCAGGGTTCTCTTGCGGGTCTGGGGTGGAATTGAGCGCTGGCTGTGGCTTCAGTGGATGAACCTGCAGCCAAGCCTTGCAGGAGTCAGTGGAGAAGTACTTGGAGAAGGCGATGCGATGCTGAGTTATGGGATCAGCCAGTTCTTCTTCCTTGAACCCTTTTGAGGGCCCTTCTTTTTCATCAGTTCTGTTCTGTTGAGACTCACTCACTCTTCACGCTCCCTCACGCGTTTTGGCCCGTTCCTCACGTGCACGTTCTCTCACCCGGACTGCTTGCGCTGGTTTCCCAAGTCAAGGGCGAATGAGTTGATGTGGGGCAAGCAAGCCGAGGCAAGGTGAGCATGGCAAGATCAAACTCATAGTTTGAATGTTCTTTGTTGGTTGGAAGCTGGTTTGTTCTGAAGTTGAGCTGGATTTGGATCCGCCTGACACGCAGAACAGATCAACATTCACCAACCCATTTGATGGTGGGACCAATTTGGATAACCCATCTCAAACTTATTGTTGCTCAAAGTCCTGTAACATGGGCGATAGTATGCCATGGTCATGGTGCACTTCTACCTTTGATTTGTGTCAGGTACCCACATCAAGTGAGCTATGAGCCCCCAACATGGAACTTCAAAACATACAAAACCAAAGACCCAAAACGTGGTTTGCAGGTTTGGTTGGTTTGCACGAACGACATGGAGCTTCTATTGATGGGTTGAGACCTCCAGGCTCAGTATGCAAAGCCTGTGGAACTAGAACTGCGGCCGTCGAAACACAGGCTTTTCCCAGAGCGAGTGGAGAAGCAAGCAGCTTCTGCCCAGAAATCCCCATCGCCTTCTGCTCTCGATCCATCTACCTGGGATGTCACCCTTTTATGGTTTGGGGGTCTTAACCAACCTATCCATCAGATCGGAGATCCTTGGACTCTCTCTCTCTCTCTCTCTCCTTTCTCTTATACATTCACCAGCGTCCTTGTGCTGGGGCAGGGCTACAGCTATTCCCGGACCAACAACCCCACGGTCACCGTGCTGGAAGAGAAGCTGGCGAAGCTGGAGAATGGGTGCGGAACCTGTGTGCGATCGCCGTAACTTCTCTCGGAAAGCCGATATGTCATCCGATGTCCTCAGGTGTCCCTGCCATTCCCTGCCTTTTTCGCAGCTCATGACTGACACAGATTCTCAGTGAAAGCTCACATCCCACAGGAGACCAGTCAACTTCGTTCCGCACTGTAGCAGAAACACGACGGACCTTAGCTGGCTGCGGCTTTGGAAGAGTTCTGCGTGGATACCAGCATTCCTCAATTATCAACCTCTTCTTCTTCTTCTTCTTGAGCGTGACGCGATCCTACCCCGGGTCGCTCCAGTCAGGAACCCCAAACACCACCGGTCCACCCCGCTCGACCGCCGCAGCTTCGGCGCCTCGGCCTTCGGCACGGGCATGGCCGCCACGACCAGCGCCATCTCTGCCACCATGCAGCCGCCTGGGCGAAGTGGATGTGGCACACCAGTGCGGGGAGGGATGGGGAGGGTGTATGAGGGATTTGTGAGGGAATTAGTCTGATCGACTCATAGAGCGTAATTACTATTCCTATAGCCACGCGGGGGGGGCAAGGTGCGAGGTTCCGCAGTTCGGTGAGTCACTGGGGTTTCGCTTCGCTCCACGGAGCACGGAAAAGATCTACTAGTGAAGCGAGAGCAGCTGGAACTCCATGTGCCGTTTGAGAAAGGAAGGTCGGGGTCACTTTCATGGGAATGGAATTTTTCCACTCGGTCTGGGGTCTGATGGAAGTGAATTCCGGGAAGCAGCGGAAGGGGCGGAAGGTTCTGACAGGGACTCAACCAGCATGGTGCATTTTCGGGACCAAACCAGCTTGGCCACCCGTGACGGTCCACGCGGGTTGGTTCGTGACGACGAAGCCATCCCAGCAGCTCAGGGCGGGTGACCATTGCGCGCCTTGGAAGCAGATTCGATTGGGCGTTTGCATGGCGCGGGTAAAAACGAACGAGAAGGAGTTCCGGAGTTGACTTGGAGTCACTTAAAACCTGTGCATTTTCCGTGAGAGAACATATAATTAGATGTAGACATCAGTCCACTACATGCTCGATGAAGAGAGACGACTTGAATTCGCGCAATCATGTCACATGCATCGAGGTTTGGTTGGTCAACGGCCCCGGTGGTTCACATCCAATGACAATGCGCTTAGAGCTATGACCATTTTCTTGGTGCAGGGTGTGGGAAACAGCTGGCTTTCGTGTCTGAAATAGCTCATTAGGGCTCATTCGGGCCGCTTGCCGAAGAAAAAGAACTACATAGACTGGTCATCTATAATTTGCCTTCGGCAGCCTTCAGCAATCAAACTTGGATAATTACTTTCAATGGCTTTGGGTGTCAAGAGCTCCCACCAAGCAAGACCTCAAGATCGTTTCAAAAAATGTCCTTTGGGATCATTTCCAAAACCAATCGATCATCATTTGAATATAATTGAATCATATTGAATCTACAGGATTTGTGGGTGCAGGATTCTCGTGAAACGGGACAGTTGAGCGGTGCTTGTCTTCTGATAGAATGACACAGACTTTCAACCAGTGATATATTACATAATATACGGTATACAGTCATACAGTATTGTAGCATGATACATTGTAATTAAATATTAGAAGTTCTTGGATTGGGACATATTCGTGAGATCTCTGAAGCAGAGAGCAAGGCATCGAATCGATGGCTGCAGGTGATTTCGGATTGCTCCTATGGTGGCACCAACAGGCCCGTGGTCAGACTGCAGGATGTGGCTCTCAGATGGATAGGTCAGGATCAGGAAGCAGTAAGCAGCGAGAGGCATTGCGAGGAGTGAAAGGTAGGAGGGCACTGGCCAAAGATGCTGAATAGATGGTACCGGTATGCCATTTAGAACTGGGACATAGGACATAGCTGCTATATAGAGACACAACAAACACCTGGGCAATCCTAGATTAGATCACGTGTGCAAACACCAGCATGTTCCAACCATTGCTTCTGCTCCGCCTTCTTCCTCCTTCGGCCACGCCATGCAGGTCCTGCCGGGAGTTCTTTACGCCGCTGAACATGGAGTTCACCTTCGTGGACTTTCGAGATCCGGAGAATGTCAAGAAGGCAGGGGCGTGGAAGGGCCTTCGGGCATTCTCTGATCTTTTTCCTCCGATCCGGTCAGCCAGTCGACTGGAGCCGGTAGAGTTTTTTCTTGAATGGTAAAATCTCTTGTCTTTTTTGGAGGATCACGAATCGATCAAAATACACGAATAGTTACACGAATAGATCATCAGGTCTCAAATATGTCTCATCTCTTTTGTGTGAAGGGTTTGGCCCGGCCCCTTCTATCCCAAGAAATGGACTCCAACACACTCTTCAATCTGGGTGAGGGGTTCTTCCTTTTTCAGAGTCTCTCAAATCCCAACGACATGTCATCCAACAGCGACCCGACCTCATGGGCGGTTCTGATTCATCATGAATCCATCATCCATCCGTTGCCTTTTTTTCTCAAGCCATCTTGGTTCTTCGCCGCCGTTCCCACCGGCTTCTCCAGTGGAGGCCATGAAGCCCAACACCAAGCTGGTCTTCAGCGAGACCCCGGCGAACCCAGTCTTGCCGGGACGCACGGTTGGGAGCGACGACGTTTTTTCGACTAGCTGAGCTCCGGAGATGTGCGGAGAGTTGCGACTTCTATGAGCGTATAGCTATATATATATATTAATATATAGATCATTATAGATCATTATAGACTATTATAGTTATATTATTAGTCATATTGGATGATAGATCATAGAAGGGACCTTTTTGAATCTCAGTACATCTGCATCTCCAAACGAGCAGCTCATCTTCAGCATCCCTTGTGTTTCCACCGACAGTGCAGCTGACCCTCCACAGGTCATTGACCGACATCGAGGCTGTGTCGAAGATCGCCAAGGTCTGGACAGACCACGGTGCGAACACGCCGAACGGAGTTTTACGCCCGAACGGAGGTGTTACGCCCCGTACGCCTCATCGCCACCCGAACGGAGGTGTTTTCTTTTTGGTTGGGGTATGTTGAACTCCTGATCCTGGTTGGGGGGCTCGAAAACAAAAAGCACACAAGCAACCAGCAACTTAGCGTCCTTTTCTTGGTGTCCACCAGCAACTTACCGTTCCCTTTCTACAGGACGCTGGAGCAAAGCACGTGGTGGATGCGACCTTTGCTACACCTGTGGCTTGGCCGAAGATCGATGTGGCCACCACGTGGCTTCGGGCTTTGGGGCACCAAAAAAGGGCTGGCGGCAAGCGGGGCCTCTTTTTCATGACCTGAGTTCCTTTTATAGTTTACCTAACTAGGGAAGGGTTTACATCCTACCCAGAAACTGTTGAGGTTTCCTACCCACTACCAGTACCTAGAGAAGGCTACTATCTGTTTCCTACCCATCAGTAGCCTTCTCCCTCTCTCTAAGCAGAACTGACAAGCTGTCCGCTTTTGTGGGAATGCCATGGATTCGGAGCAAATATGGGTCTTTATTTTAGTAGGGAACCCCTCTGGCCCATCTGGTCCTGGCTGGGTAGACTGATCTATTTTCTTTTTTCTGTCTTCCAGGGGCTCGACCTGGGGAGGTCTCCCTATTTTGATACACGAGGGTGAACTACGGTCCACCATGTGAACTGCCTATCTGATGAACTGAAGCAAAGGAGCGTTGGGATGGAACACGGCCCGAGCATTTCAATTGTCAGGCAAAAAGCGGCAGAAAGGTGTCCCAAGACCGTGAGAACGAGCATGCATCACACGTTGGATCGTTCCAATAGAAATGGTATGAAAGAGGGACAAAGCACGACGTTTGCAGATCTTCCCCTTGTAGTCCAGTCTCTTCCTCCACATCTGAATTGATACTGGAGAACATTGGTGTTGGAACCCTCATGCAGGTCAGTTTCACCATGTGTTGCGGAGCTCGAGGTTGTTCAAAGAGAGCCAAGGAGCGGTCAACTTCCTTATGCCTCCCTTGCGAACTCGCCCGGCCAAGGTGATCTGTCGTCCCCTGGACTGGGGTGCAGACATGGTGCGCCTTAGTCGCATCGGTGCATGGAGGAGTGCCAAGGTCACACTGACACTGTGAAGATGTGGAGGAAGAAGGCCAGTGAAGGAAGGAAAGCCAGGTGAGTCGTAGGTGAAGCTATGAAAGGCCCTGGCCCTGGGTTTCACATGTTTAGCTTCACACGTTGAATCCACTGTTTCTTCGTGGTAGCTGAGCTGATCGCCGTTTGAGCCCCGGTGGCGGACCGAGGGTTGTACATGTGTGCACTTTCTACAACTGGATCATGTTCAGTTGTATGGCAGGGGCGGTTTGCCTCTAGGTGGTTGGTTGGTGGGTTGGTTACATGATACAGCGGTTTTCAGCACAGCAGATGCTGCGAATTCCGCCGGCCAAGGATTCAGAGTCTCACCAAGTACTACGAAGGTCACAACATCATGACTGGAGGCGCAGCTCCTTGGAGCGGGGGGCGAACGCGTTTGGAAGGACCTAAGGACCGAGGGTTTCTTCGCTTCACTACGGACGCCCGCTTAGGAGGTGCTTGGGAAGAGGAGAATTATCCTCTGCTATTTTTAGCAGGGCCAAGCCCGTGCTAAGCATACACTTTCTGGGAAGGGAATCTCCAGTGCAGTCCTCCAAACAGAGACTGTTCCTGATTTGGCTGTGTGCCGAAAATTAAGCCCTCAACTGCAACAGTAGTTGAATCACCTCACAGTGCCAAGGGTCCTGGGCTTCAACGGCCGGTTCTGAGCTGCCCGGTGGGAACGACACAGTCGGCATTGTTGCAATGCACGAACGTGCATGGCAACTGTGAGAACCTGGACGTGGAGTTGGCAGTAGTGAAACTGTGTCGCGAAACGAGACTATGACGGAATACCCAAGCCTAGAACTGTGGGTGCGATAGGAAAGGCTCCTCCTGCACCCCAATCACACCGTGGTGGCTTCAATGATGCACAAAGTTCAGTCGCAGATCACGCCCGATATCCGGTAAAGCCACTCGACTCCATGCAAACAGCTCCATGGAAACAGCCTTATGTCATCTTATGTCATATTGAGTCATAGTATATTGACTTCTGGTTTGCAATATATATAATTACCATGTCGACTTGGACTTCTTGCACGGATCGTCCGGCAAACGAAGACGCCGCGCCCTGTCAAGCACCTAAGCATAGAGTCAAACAGACAGCCTGGAGCTGCAAGAGACCGTCTCTTAGACGGGAACATGATGGATTCACCCACTGCGCAGCTCCAGGTGCGGTGATCAGCAAAGATCAAGAGCTGCACGAGAAGGTGAAGTGGGTGCGACGCCTAGGTGAAGTGATGACATTTGATGTTAGAGTGGGTGCGACCGGAGGTTGGACCCCAGGACCGGAATGGCCTTTCTGGTGCATGGCCCGTGAACTGGGCTGGGTTTGGTATGATGGTTTGGTACAGTATCGGTTCATTGGATGATTCCACGCTTGGTGGGGTGAGCAAGTTAAAATCAAACCTGCTCACCCCCAAAAGCGTGGAACCATCAATCCACCATATGGTCTTGGTACAATCATGGAAGTGCGTTTCTTCTTCGCTTCTTAGTCTCACGTTTCGACTCGGCACAGACAAGCTCCGTCGTTGCTTTTGGCTCAGCTTCACCACACGCAGCGACGTTCATTCACAGATCTCCTAAAAGATGGGGTGGGGGAGATTGGAGTCTTGATTACCCTGAAATTTGGTTCGGGGGAGAATTTGAGGTCTTGACTTTGCCCTGCAATTTTGATGCTTTTGGTGTGCCCGTTCGAGAATCTGAGGCTTAGGATCGTCGTAGTTTCTGACTTTTTCACCCACGAGCTATTTTTTCAAGTATTTTGCAATTAGTGTCGGTGGTGTGCCGGTAAATCAACTGGTTCAACTTGCTTGGGTGCGACCCAGCCAAAGAAGGCTTGGCATCCATTCATGGATGGCACACACTTCCAGTGCAAACAAGGCGAAAGCGCCTTGTTAAATTAGTGGCAAGGAACCAGCACGGTGTGGGTTTTCGCTTTTTGCTAGGTGGAGAAAGTGCCTGAGAGCTCTACTTGAAAAACATATGGAATTGGCTCCGGTTCCCCCAAAAGGAAGGCTCATGAAGGCTTTGCCATCTTTACCCTCAAAGAAAGCCGAACAGCCTTGGATCAAGGTTCAGAACGTCCATGGCAACATCATCAATCCTTTTGCTGCCTACATCATTTTGCAAACCAGCTGCCTGGATGCAGCGAAGTGAACAGGTCACTGCTTGATACTGCTTGATAGGCCATAGGCTAGGAGAGTTCCTCCCGTCTGGATTCTGCGCACATGGATTCTGGTCAGTCTTCAACCTTTCAGCTAGCCGCTAGCAATCCGATATGATTTGCTATACAAGTCACGTCTAAGAGGTAGCACGTGGATCACTATGACCCTTTAGTAGGGAACTAGGGTTCATACAGGTCGAGTGTAAGGCTATTATGTTGTTTTGGAGAGACTAGTAGGCTTGTCCTGACTCCATTAGTCCAGAGCAGAACTGGGACTGGGACTGACCTTTTTCTCTTTGGTATCCGGAATTTGCAACTTGTAAGACTTTTATTCTTATGGGATGTGACTGACACTCATCAACTTGTCAGTCATAGACCTCTAATGACCTCTAGATGTCAAGTCTGGGAGGGGGAGTTTGTTGCCCCCAGCAAGAAAGATAAGGAAGAAGGGCGAGGTCTGATGCATACAAGGGGTTGTTTGCTAGGCCCGATGAACCTTTGGAAGCCAGGACTTGACCAGGACTTGACTCAAAAGTATTTCATTCTTGTTGATTTGGACCCACAGTTCCGGGGCGGATAGGACGTGGAGACAGTCATCTCAGATACGCTGCTTTCGCATCCATCTCAGGCAAGACCATGCACCTGCGGATGAGGAGACCGGTGCATCCCGTCGCTCTTGTTCGGACGGTCGCAGATGTCTGTGGACGGGCCAAGAATGCTTCGAACGCTAGTTCTTTCAGGTTGACCAATTGACCAATTGGTTGAGTGTTGACGTGGTATCTAGTAAAAATGGTTGAAAGTTCCATTTTGAAGAGAATCATACTCTCTAAATCTCTCTAGCATGTGGAAACCTATCACCACCAGCAGTCTGCTAAACCTCGCTTTTACATGTGTCTAAGGAGGACTCTTTCAAATATTGTCCACAGATTGGTCCCATTCACCCAACAGAGGGTTGCGACCAAACCCCGACGATGAGGGCCCTGAGATGTCCTACGAATGGGTCGTCATGCCAAAAAAAGGAGTTGTCGTGTCTGGGAATCTGTGTTTATCTGGAAGACACACCTTTTCCGAGATGATTTCCCAGGTGCTTTTGGGAGGCTCATGGGACTTAAAAACATAGAACAACTCCCTTTCCCAGGTGCTTTTCCGGGTTTTGGCAGGTTGCTCTTGGATTTAATTCTTTTCATTCGATCCTCCGGTTTGTCGCGGAGCGCTCTGAATATAGCCCGGCCAGTTGATGTGGAAGGAAACAGAGCGAGAATGCCATGGCCATCGCCACCTTCCTGGAGAAGCATCCCAAGGCCGGACCGTCCAGTGAGATGCAAATAAATTCATTCCAACAGGTAGATGGGACTCTTCGAAGACGTGTTTGGTGAGAACTTCCGCGCAAGAACACATGTGAAGGGCTGTAAGGCACGCTGCAAGGCACTGTAAGGCATGCCGTTTGTCGAATTGGGTATGGGCACGGGTCGAAGATGGGTATATATGTATATCTCAAAAATCCTTTTCAAATCTGTTCAACCAATGGGTTGCTTGGTTGCTTGATCAGCTTGAGGGTTCTACTTGGCCAAGTTGCGTGGGGTGTCTCCAGAGATCGCTTCTACATCTTCTACACGAAAAGGCTGGAACTGGTGCCTATTTCGGAATCCAATTCATTGCTCTTTAGCGGAGTTCAAGGCAAATTCCAGGATTGTTGGACCTCAGTAGACTCCAGGCAAGAAACCACATGAACTCACGTCCCTGACGTGATCCAATTTTTAGGTGAAAAGGTCTCCCTCATCACTTGGTAGATTGAAGAATCTCTGACTCAGTCGCCACTGAAGTTGTCATGACCTCAGGTGACCAAGGTGGTGTTGCTTGGCTGGAAATGGCTGTGGGGGTCAGACATTGGACCCACCTTCAGATTCCGTCGGATTCCGTCGGACTGTCCGTGTCAAGACGGAATCCTTGAGTGTGTTTGTAACGAGAAGAGATAGCCAGATGCAATTGCCAAGATGGTGTTTGTTTTTTTCCCGGGATTGGGGGACTCTACTGGTATACAATGAACTAGTCACGCGACTTACTATTTACTGTAAGCATTTGCTTCTTGTTTAGGTGTGACATCAACTGTTATGTAGAGCTAGGGTCTGCAGTACCCAAGATCAGAACCTGCAGAACCTGATGTGTGTTGTTCATTAATCATACCCATGGGCCCATGGGTGTCCTCCATGCGCGAGAGCGTGGTGGAAACGCTCCAACGTGGTTGATGCACTTCGTGCCATGGCCATTGAAATCCAAAGAAGTCCACGGGTTCGTGTGGCTGTGTATTAACATAGGGGGATCTCCCCAGTTCGAGCCACTGGAAGGTTTCGACAATCCATCGGGGCGATCGGGTGTCTCCCTATTCAAATACATACCCATTATATCCAAGTATATCAAAATATATACAGTATATTGTAATTATAGATAATAGAACATAAGTAATGTTCCCTAAACATCTAGGATCCAAATCATCAATGCGAGCGCTCCTTCAAGGAAGCTCCCCCGCGCCCTCAGGTGGGGGGAGCTTCCTTGAAGAAGCGTGAGCTATCCCGCCTCCTAGCTAGGAGCGAACTTCTCCTAGTAGCTTGCTCCCTTACTGAAGTAAGTAGGCGCCTACTTGTACTTAATTAAGTAAGGGCGGGCTTTAAGAAAAAAGGTTCTCAAGATTCTCAAAGCTTTGTCACCTTGATCACCTTGATTACCAGATGTGTGAGACAGTCCTCTCACGATGGTCCTTGTTTCGAGGTTCTGTCCGCACCGGACCCGACATCCGGTGCCGTTTCAAGGTATCCCGGCTTGGCCTCTCATCCTCAGAAAGCCTTGGCCGACAAGTGCCCAAAGCTGGGAGATCATGGAAAGTCTAAAAAGACTCGACCATTGGATACGGTTGGAGCTGTTCTCCTACTTTTCTTCAAGTTAAGGGTCTTGAAGAGTTTAGGGGTCAGCCTGACTGTCGGAGGTTCTCTGTGGACAAATTGGATACAGTACGTGATCCCTGAAGCAGCCAAGGAAGTTGCCACTCCCTCCATCCGCTGATCATGTTAATTTTCAGCTGTTTGGGTAGGTTGAGTAATGATTGTCCCTTCTTCTTCCTGGGTTCCATGACGCCAGGGCATCCAACACCCAATCGTGAAGCTTCAACTTCTGACTTGGGCAGCTGTCGAAGCACAGAGTGGCTATTTTCTCTAGTTTTCAGAACCATAGATGCCCACGGGTCCTTCTCATTCTCTTCTTGAGATGCCGACCATACAGTACCTGGCCATACCTCTTCGAGTTCGGGAACAAGGGAATCTTCACCAGATCAGCACCAGGCCGTGCTCGCTACTAGGGGCTCCTGGCATCGCTACTAGAAGCAAGGACGCTACTAGGGGCCTATTCGCATGTTAGAATCTCGTCAGATCTGACGAAACTCCGCGGGTGCTGGCCATGGTGTTGCGGTGGACGGCGCCCCGGTGAGGTACCACCGTGACGGCCTCCACGGTGGCATGCTGTGGCTGGAACCTTAGACGCTCAACGGTGGCATGAGCTTTGCCTTTTGAGGGATCTGTTGTGCAAGCCGCCCAACATGACGAAGCCAAATGACGAAGTTGCTGCCTGGCCATTAGAGCCTGCTAATTAGCAGACCACTAGAACCACTATCACTAGAACGATTGGAACCACTAATAAATCTAATAGGACATGCAATTTCACAAGCCACAGGTTCGACATCGTGGGCGGCTCCGCGGCCGGAACCAAGCTGATGAACGTGTTTTGCTCAGCGGTGACACACTTCTGGCTTTGGGCGGCTGAAAGCAGAAGGACTGAGACTAGGACCAGGAGTGACTAGGACCACTACCAACCCTCCAGCAGAAGTGGCTTTGGGTGTAGATCCGTTCGTTCGAATATGCTTGAACATCAGAGAAGGGTCAAACCAGTGGCTTTCCATCGTCAATCGAGTGTGAGGAGAGTAACATCAACCCAAAGCGTACGGATTCAATGCAAAGAAAGATTTGGAGTTGTCTCATAACATGCATGCATGTCTCCTTAAACAAACAGACTCCTTCTTGAAACTGACTTCTCGGGAACAACTGATTTGGGACGATGTGCACCCACACCGTCCGAACCGCCGCCAGGTGTGCCAGCGGCCCTGGAGCCTTTGCGAGAACTTGGGTGCCACCGAGTGTCCTGGAAGCAGCAGGGGGGGGTGAATCTGGGTGCGCCCAGCCAACAGGTGCCATTGCGGCGCCATAAACGGGTGATGGGCTTGACAATCCCATTTTTTTGGGGGCAACCATCAAGATTCCACCTCAGAGGAGGAACAGAGACCTGTGGGATCGCATGTTCGCATGGGCTCCAGGGATTTTTCACCACGAGGGTCGCTGACAGGATCGGTACTGCAGGGCATTTCCGTCTTGGAGCACCACCTGGGTGGTGGGATCCACCAGACTCACATCCCATTTGACCAGGCTTTTATTCCTGGTCTGGAGGGGAATATCCACTGGAGCACGCACATTCCATCGGGTTAGCCTCTCTTTCATGGGTGATTTGCGTTTGGTGTCTGCGACTTTTCCGAGTCAGAATGATGCCGCGCGGGTGACGGAGGGTCCGTTCTGTTGGGAGTTCAGTTCCGTGGTGGCAAACAACAGACCAGACCTGATCCCCAACATCAAACTGCCCATCCCAGGAGTCTAATCTGACTCAGGTAGTCTGGTCAAACAGACCAGACCTGGTCCTGCCATCCCAGGAGTATCATCACTGCCTGCGCTGTGATGACTCATGCGAACATGCTCAAGGAGGATCGCTTGAAGGCCCCGAGTGCCTTTATCCGTCGGTGAGGACGATGGATTCTCGGTCTGGTCTGGTCATGGTTTGGTTGGACTTGGTCGTACGGTTTCTTTTGTAGCTTTTTGTGCCAAAAGCACTCCTCGATCTGTTGTGTTTGTGGCGAGTTTATCATCCTCCGGTTGGTATGGGAGTTGAGCCCAGGCTCCAGGCTATCCTTATGATTGTTCAGCTCAAGGTTGAGCCCAGGCTCCAGGCTATCCTTATGATTGTTCAGCTCAAGGGACTGTTCATTTGGAGCAGTTCGTTTAACTGCTTGGAGCTTCGTCTCGTTCTACCTCGCCAGGTGGGCATCACTGACGGCTTCATCCGCGTCAGCTGCGGCATCGAGGACCGGTGTGAGTCCGGAGGGGTGATTGAACCACTGTCACCGCCCAAAAAGAGGCAAGGACTAGGTCCAGGTGACTAGGACTCTGAGTCTGACTGGTCATGGGCATGGTCACCTAAAGCATGGACAGGGTCCACTAACCATCCCCAAGTTTGTGAGCTCTTGGTTCATCGACCTCTCTTTTTCTTCTTCACTCGAGATGACCTTCACCCTCCACCTTGACAGGTCCCTGTCCCTGCCCCGCCTCCAAACGCTCAGGACACCGCGGATCTCATTCGAGCGCTCGAGGTGGCCTTGGAGCAGGTCTAAGGCCCTGACGCGTGGACGGTGAAGGACGCGTGAGAACCGCGTGGACGGTGAAGGAGTGAGTCTAGGACTGGGAAAGGGGGGGGGTTCCACATGGTTAGACTCGTGAGACCTAAGAAGATCGTGTGGTTCTATATGATGTATTATAATGTTCTATATATAATATATTCTACAATTATTATATACTATACTATACTGTCTTTTTCCAAAAGGTAGGTTCTTTTCCATTCTGAAGAGGTGTCAGGATCCATTGGGTTATGGGATGCAGACCTGAAACATCAACATTTTACATGGAAAGAACCGAGTTGAGATGGTTCAACCTGGGCCCGAACGAAAAAAGCATCCACAGGCAATTACATATACCATTATTATACCTCCATCCGGTTGGGGTCTCCAATGGACTAGCCAACACGACTTAGGGATGACACCCACATCGGATGGCCCTGGTGGGCACTGGGTACTCCTCCTGCACCCACCCCAAGCTGAGATTCTTCGATCCTTTTGTATCCAATTGGATGACTGGTTGGAGGTACTAGGTCGTTGAGACTGGGACTGCCAGGGAAACATCTGTTGAAAGCAGCAAGGGTTTCACTCCTTGGAGACGGGTCTATGATCGGAGGTGCACCACGGCGGGTCGGTAACCTGGCGATGGAAGCCATCAACGCTCGGCGACGAGCAGGAGGATGTGATTGGATGTGGGTGGACATGGGAGCATGGGAGCATGGGCCAATGCCACATGGGACGTTTGCATGGGAGCATGGGCCAATGCCACATGCGCGCACAGGTGAGGGCATCTTCAATTTTACTCTATGGCCGCTGGGCGAGTACACCGGATGCTGGGGATATGGGGGATATCCGTTTGTGGCGAGTCCACACCGCCCACCCGGGCTCCATCGACCATCGACGAGTTTCCCAGGTGTCATGACCTGCCATGACCTGGATTGGAAGGGATTAGTGAAGGGATTCTATACTGCTTTCTCGAGTTCTTCTCTTTTTTTTCTTTCCTACAGCATCCTACAGCTATTTTGACTTGGCAGGATTTGGAAGGGTCGTGTTCCGGTGAGCGAAGAGAGAAGATAATTCGAGTTCGTGCGCTTGGTGGCTTAGACCACAGCCATTCGCGATGGCAAGCTACGACCCGACATGGTCGATGACCACCCCGAGATGGACTGCTGTTGAGTGCAAACCGTGCCACATCTCACAACGAAGGCACACGTCCACCTAGGTTCTACCAACTTTCCAGGGTTTCCCAGATGCCATCGCGACTCGTGTGGGACAATTTCTTGCGACTTGTGTGGGGGGTGGGCAAAGCTGGATCCCTAGATTGGTGCGGGAAAGTTCGAGACAGTACATCACCCTGAAAGAAGAGCAACAATGGATAGTACAACGGGTAACTTAATAAGCTAGTCTATACAGTATGCCTACTGCAAATGTATTGCATTTGTGTGAAGTTGGATGACATTGGATGACTGATTTGTTTACTGTTGAACATGTTTGCCCATCGGCTTGTGGCATTTTTGGCACATTTTGGGACAGGGTCATGGATCAGGACGGGATCCTGTGCCGATCGAGGCAGGGAGGGTGAGGTGAGGAGCCATGGCAAATTATAGGGGGGCCGTACTGAGTGGATAAAATTAATGGGGTCAGTGCCTGGACTTTATTTGTGTGCCAGCCTGCCAGCAACCTATCCAGGGGGTCTATCCTCCAAAAGAATCTACCCAAGTAAGGAGTGGATATTTTTTTGGGGGGTGGATGAAATTGGGTCAGTGCATCAAACATATTCTGAATTAATGCTCCAATTTTATCCACTCGGTAGTGGGAGTAGAAAAGGAAAGAAAAGATAGAACATCTCTCGTTGGACGTGCGTTAGAATTCCGCTCGTTGGATTTTCCGAGCTCCATGACAATTACCTGGATTAACGGACTACATTTCCTAGAATTTTATCCACCCGGTAGTGGGAGTAGAAAAGGAAGGAAAAGATGGAAACGAGATAGGTTAGAGAGAAGAATGAAAGAAACGAGATTGAACAGCAAAGACAATCAAGAAAACAAAAGAGAGAAGGGAGAAGGGAGAAGGGAAAATATCCCGTACTGACCCTGGATTTTAGTATATAGTATATCCGCTCACTCCATACCATGTGATGACCACAGCAACCTGCAAAAAGCCATGAAGCTCCGGGGTGTTCCATATGGCTGTGGGTCATGGCACCAGGATTACCTTGGTTGACCTACCGACGGGAGGTCGTTCGCTACATGGTGGACTGGTCGGGCTGCAGGTGGATCACGACCCATACCCATTTTGTTTGACATGAGAAAACCCTGTCAAACTCCATAGATTTGCGTGAGGACCGGAAGCGTCCCGTCTGGACCCTTGCACCCTTGCGCCTTGAAAAGTACGTTCGATACCGGTGATGGCGGCTGAAGCGCCAAAACTGGGTTTCAATTCCCAATGGATGGGCAGTCAGAGAGGCAACCAGATTTGGCATTGGACTCCGACTGCAGCATGATATTTGAACATGCTTGAACCCCAAAAGACGTGGGCGTTCACGATGCGACACCTCTTGCCGAGGCATGGAGAGATACTTGGGGAGGAACAAGGGCACAGTGTCTTCACGGCTGCACGGTGACTCATCCAAGAGGAACAGCTCAGGGAATCCGCTCGAACCCCTCACATGGACCGGTCTTCGCCAGGTGGAACATTTTCAACCACCTCTGTGAGGCGCAATAACGTGAGCCCGTCCCACTTTGCGTGCTGGCATCCTTGGCTTCTGTCAATTGCTGGAGTATGATGGAGTATGGAAATTGCATGGAACACAAGAAGCAACTTAAGTATGGGGTGACACTGCCCAATCACAGAATCACTCATGGATGGCCTTTGCTTTTGCAACGACCTGTTGGATTCCGCAGCGGAATCCCTAGCGGGTATCCGAACCACTCATCGCATCGTTTTGTTTGGTTTCGGTTTGGACTTGCCTTAGAACCACACTAGACAAAATCAGACGAACCTGCTTTTTTTGGGATGTGAGCGGTAAAAAAGTGGATCACGTCAAGGACTCCGAGTGTTTTTGTAGGACTATCAAAGACGATCAAGGACTCGGTCTTCAGGTGGGGTCAAACATCAAGCCAGAATCCATCTCTTCTCGAGCCAACAAACCATAGGAGCTCGAATGAGCATCATGGTGGCCTGCAGAAGGGCAGGGCAGGGCGGCAGGACCCAACAAGTTTGCCGTGAGTTGTCGCACCTGTGGGCCGTGGGATGGGTACTACTCTCTGGGTAGAGGGTTTCAATTCCTTTTCACGTTCAACCTCTACTTGGGATGATTGATCCCACCCACTTGGAATGAGTTGAAACCACCAATCAGTGATGGGTTGACAATGCTACCGGTGCAGAGGATGTCATCACGCCATGGCAATCAGCCATGCCAATCCTCAGACATCAGAGCAAAGCTCGAACGGACGGCGCGCGTCCGAAGAAAAGCAAGGGTTGGCTTGGCATTTGTCGTTCTGCCTCACCTACAGTAGGGCAGTAGGGCCTGAACCAACGTGAATTGATGCTTGCTGACTGTTTGCTGATATGAGAAGTCTTTCGGATGCCCCTTTATCACTTTCTTATTCGGTCACCAGCAGTTTTGCGACATGAGATTAGGTTGGCATGCCAATACCCCATCACTGGCTTTTGGTGGCTCAAAGCCACGCTGGAACTCTTGTATCGCGGAGCCCTGCGCGGGAACGCCCAATGTGCCCGAAGGGCTGACTCAGCGAGGCAACCGAGTGCAAGCTGCAACCAAAAGTTGTTAAAACCCCATCAGCTGACAGTTGATTTGGTTGGACCTACGAATGATTCGCAGATGGAGCAGAACAAAAGACATATATTTAGAGTGCTCGAAGCAGAACACCACACAGCACACATGCTTGGCAACGAGGAAGACACTTATGGAATAAAAGGCATATCCAACGCTTGTGCATCGAAAGAACAATTCTTCTTGGCAAGTGGAACATGTTGCCCATCCATTCATGTTGCAAGTACTAAGCTATATAACTGGCTCCTCTGAACCGGCACTCAGAGCACTCAGCCCATTTTCTGTAAAACTCTAAGCTCTTAAGACCCGCTGGCCATGGCCTCCTGGCGCTTGTCCTTCGATGTCCTTAGGCGACCCGAGCCGTGCAGCACCAAGCGGCTTTCCCGCTTTCCCTTCGGTGGGTTTAGAAGCAAGAGGTCTGGTGCCAAGCTGAGACCTTTCTTTCAACAAAGGGGTTTGAGAGATGACATAGACCATCTAAGACCATCTAAGATGTCCTAGACAGATGGGGTCCATATCAATCACCGAACTGGGGGTAACTTGTGCCATCGATCCTCTGAAACCACTGTATTCTGAAAAGGACATCTGAATAGATCTGACATGACTGGTCAGACTTGGTTGACATATAGTCAGACTTGGTCATGAGTCCGAGGTCGTGTGAAGTTGGGGTGGGGCCTCGGCAGTGGAATTCCATTAGAGAAAGAGCAAGTAGATTCACTAATTTTGATCCCACCAAGCAAAAAGATCACACGTAGATACGAAATCATGCGTACGAAAACCTATCAAATGCCATTGATTTGTGGGCTTTTACCCGCAGAGGCTGCACCTCACAGGCCTCACAGGTGCATTCATCTTGAACTGCATGGAAGACCCGGCTGACTGTCCAAGAAGTTTCAGGATCTGAGCCCATGCCAGCGACTGCAGCTGGATGGACGAACGGCAAACACACACATACCCCTTCCATACTGCTGAACAATCTGAACAATGGGTTGTAACATGTTGTAACTACCGTACCACACCGTACCACTGAAGAAGTGACTTGACATACACTCCACTGGCAAAGGGATAGACGATGATTGACGATGATTCCAGACCTTGGGACATTGGGAAACAAGGTATATTGAGAGTGCATTTTGCTTTTCACCTCACATTACACTTTGCCACCTGATGCCGCCTGGTTTTCATCTCCACTAGACCTGCCGTGGCCCAAATCCGGTGAGGCCCTTGGCCGTCGCAGCCTTCTCGCTTGGCACGAGCAGTGCACTACAAGCACGGATCGTGTGTCGGGAGAACGAAGGCGGTGGGGCTTCGTGATTGGATGAACACAACATGTGTACCTGGTCTGGTTGAGAGATGTTGCCATATATGTCATCAACGCCATCAAAAGCACCTTTCAATTGAATGCTTCAAGAACATAACAACTGCTTGAAAGTGGATCAATGCATTCTCCTAAATTGTTTTGTATAGTTTGATCAAACGTGTTTTTGACATTTAACACATATCAGTTGTATAATATAAGTTATATGTTAAATTGTTTTGACACATCATTAAACCGTTTGATGCGTTGTCAACTTGTATGACTTAGAGTGTGTTTCGAACAATTTTTGAACCTTGTTAAGTGGTTTCTATACTTTGAGCACTGAACAAATTAGAACTTGTTTGAATGTCAATAATGCGTTTCTAAAGTTACTTTCAATCTCTTGAGTTGTTTCTAAACAGGCCTCAGTTGTTTGTGAAAGGCCTCACAAACTCGCTGAAGAGTCGAGCCCATTCACACGCGGCGCCCAAATGCACTTTTGCGTGTCCCGAAGAAACTCGTTCGCACCGATACACCGGGTATCGACTGGCGTATCGTCGTAGTGGCGCAATGGTGTCACACCCAAGCATGCTCCCCTTTCATCATTGCACATATTGCACGGTATAGAAGGGAACTTTTGAGAACAGATGTTGTGTTGAAACATGTTGAAACTGTTCATCAGACCAACAAAACAAAACAGTGCCCTCACTTTCACACCCTCCGCTTCTCTGCCGCGCCGGCACAGGCGGCGGTTCCGCGAGCTCCTCTCGCTCCTCGCGGCGGTTCCGCGTCGCCCTTGGCGGCGGCCGAGGCGGCGGAGGGGTGACCGAGCTGAGGAGAAAACATCGAGAAAAGCATACAAAAACACAAAGACGGAGCTGTCTAAAGAGTGTTTGGTATTCTTTTTTCAGACACCCGCTCTTTGTGATCTTGGGCGATTTACTATACTCAATTCTCTGAAGAGCGGTCAAGACGAAGCAGGACTTGACAAATCTTAACAGTGAGGAAAGGTAGATCAACATAGCACTGAGTTATAGGGGTCTATCAAGCCAGCCAAAATAAGGTGTATAATGCAAACTTCCAGATCAACAATTTGTGTTTTTGATTTTAAGGTGTGATCCTATTGCTGCTCGTACAGGACACTCCGACCATCCAAGTGCATGATGATCGGGAAGACCATTCTACACACACACACACACATGGGGTTGTCCATGTCCATAAGATGTCTTCGTGAAAAGTGTTAATCCAAATCGACGGGATTGGTGAAGATCCTCCCAGTCCAGAGTGACTGAGTGAGGGACAAGAACTTGGGATTTTTCACCAATGCGCCAGCTCAACGAGGTGTTTTGACAGGGTCCCCGTGTGGTGTGGTTTCCCTTGGAGAGAGCAGACATGACAATCTTGGTGGAAAAACACCAGCTCTCCGTCGTAGACAGCGTGAAGACTCTAACCAAACACCAAAGACTACGGCTGAGAGGCTGCGAGAGTGTGCTTCGCAGACGCCCCGAGGACTCTTCCTGGATACACCCCCTGCCCCCTGTGGTCAAAGGGCGTGTTCAGCTGGAGCTGCCGGGCAGATCACCTCCCCCGATTCGTGCGATGTGAGGCCTTTGGTGCGAGGAGAAGCGAAAGGTGGCCATTGGAATTGACTTGGGCACCACCTTCTCGTGTGTGGGCATTTGGAAGGCGGGGAGGCGGTTCGTATCGGTTCATGGTGTAGATGTCAAAGAGAAGTGGTAGAATGTAGTGAATGGTTGAAGATGTGGCAGGCTATTGTAAGGCAAACCATTTAAAGAAGAGATGGGACTGGCTCATGGACTGGCTCATGGACTCCTTTGCGGGTCGGATCTCGGCTGGTACCGTCCGGTCGGAACGAACCGAAGCATGGAGACTTTCGCGACAGGGACAGTTCCCAGCTCGCCACGGGCCCGATGCATGCGTTGAATTGGTTGATGCCCTTTGTTTCGTTCGTAGCGAACCTTGTTCCTAGTAGTAAGGCCAGGAGCTACTAGTGGCATCCTTGCTCCTATTGGATCTATTAGCGATGCCCTTTGCTCCTAGTAGCTTCTTGTTACTAGTGAAGTCGGGCGAAGTTGGGCGAAGTTGAAGCGGGCCTCACCGTGATGACCGTGCAGAGCCAGGATGATGGCGTTCAAATCATTGAGAATGCCGAGGGCAAGCGGACCACGCCCTCCTTCGTGGCCTTCACCGAGGCTGGGGAGTCTTTTTTGGAATGTCATGGGGAGAATGCGACGCTTGGGCCCCAGGGTGATGAGATTTGTATAGATTTGTCATGTTTTCTCTTGCTATATTGTAAAATTCTGCTTTTAAATGTCCGTTTTTCGTCTTCATGCGGACCCACTACGCACCGCGCGCTGATTTACAGGACGCGATGCAGGCACACTCCCCGAATTTCCGAAATAATGATGGAAGTGGACAACATGCCCCCTTGAAAGACCATGTTACTCCACAAACCAGGTGATTTTTCCACCTTCATGTTACATAGCCTCCCTGCAACAATCATAGAAGTGGAAGACTATACATGACTATGACTATACCCCTGTTTGGTATGAGGATTTCATGGTCTTTCCAGCTGTTCCATGATGTTCCATGGCATTATCAATAATCCATGTATTATGTATACTTGTACTCATTCATTGGATCAGAGAGAGAGAGAGAGAGAGATG